CCTTCCACCCCCGGCGCCCCCCCCGGCCCGCTACAGCTTTGGCAAGAGGAGAATCAGACCCAAGGAGGGCTCTGGAATGGGAGCCAGGAGCTGGGCTGGGAAGAGCTGGAGAAGATGCTCTTCCTCTTCGCAAAGGAGCCCGTCACCATCAGCCTCACGGCGATGTACCTGGTGTCCTTTGTGGTGGGCTTTGTGGGCAACATCATGTCCATCAGAGTGCTCACTCGGAAACGCCGGAGTCGTGTGTCCAGCTTAAGTGCCACCCGCAGCCTCCTCATCAACCTGGCAGTGTGCGACCTCATGGTGGTGTGTGTCTGCATGCCCATCACTGTGGGCAACCTCATCTACAAAGCCTGGGTGTATGGGGACTTTCTCTGCAGGGCAGTGCCCTTCATCCAGGCTGTTTCTGTCTCTGCCAGCGTCCTCAGTCTGACCGTCATCAGTGTGAATCGGTACTACAGTGTGCACAACCCACTCAATGCTCGGTCTTTCTTCACCCAGAAGAGGATCCTCAGCACCATCCTGGTGGTGTGGTTGTTGTCCTCAGGGATATGCATGCCCCTCATCTTCATGAACAAACGGGATGAGATTGGGGTGGTAGAGGGCTTGCCTCTGGTGTTTTCGATCTGCAGGGAGATTTGGCCTCAGGAGAGGCTCAAGCAAGCCTACAACTTTCTGCTCTTCTGTGCCCTCTACTGCCTGCCAGTTCTGTTCAACATGGTCATCTGCTTCCTCACAGTGCGCAGGCTGTGGAGCCGCAGCAGCCAGCTGAAGGAGAGCACTGCTCTGACTCGATCTCTGCCAGCCTCCAGGCTCAAGATCCGGAAGAAGGTCGCGCAGATGGTGGTGGCCCTGGTCCTGCTGTTTGCCATCTCCTGGCTGCCTGTCTACCTGATGGACATCTGGATTGATTTCAACATTCCCAAGTCTTTGCAGGACGTGACTCCTTCTCCTTGGATCCTGCAGCTCAGACCATTTGCCCAGTGGCTTGGCCTCACCAATTCCAGCCTCAACCCTATATGCTATTGCTTTGTTGGGAACCTCTACAGGTCAGCCAAGGAAATGAAGAGCAAGTACCACCAAAGAATGGTCTCTCTCTTTAACTTCTCTCTGTCTGAAGGGACAACCCATTCCTCAGTTCCAGAGCTGCTCTCTTACCGGGATTCAACAGAGCCTGCAAGGAAAGGACCTTCTGCCACCCCTGCCATGGGCAGATGTAAGGGAGGTCATGGCAGTAAGAACAAGTGTGGACACTTGAATTCCTGCCAGCATCCACCTTTGAACACTGTCTCCAGTGAGAACACTTCCTTGTAATTCTGCTCAGGAAGTGCACCTCGTACCTCAACTGCATTTAATGACTCTTTGGAGGTCTTTCTGAACCAGATATTTTAATGAAGGAAAAAAACTTTCTTCTAATCACTCCCACCAACGGTTCAAAAATACAAAGACAGGGAAAGAAGGAAACAATTAGAAAAAAGGTGATGTATTTTAACTCAGATCAAGTTTTAAGATTAATAATTTTTACCAAGGACAGTTAGACATGTAAACTGCTGCCAGTCAACAGCACCATAATTAGACAGATCAACTTCCCAATGAGTGAGCTCTCCCTGCAGCTTCATCTCTAGATGCAGAGATGCTGTTTGGATACAGCAACTATTTGACTGCTTGCTGCTGCTCACCCTGTGCTGATAAAGACCAGTGAGAAGACACTCTGCTCCAAATCCATCAGTCGTAGTTGCAAGCAGTGAGGAAATGCTAGAAACAGCATCATAAAAAGTAATAGTGGTGGAGAATTTCACACACGTTACCACTTGAGATTTCATTGCCTGACCGTATTGTTTCACTTTTCCATGCAAATAAATTCTCCTGATGTGAAGAGACAGTGCCAGAAGTACTAAAGCAACCATTACCATTTGGAATTTCAGAAGGGATAATGTGGCCTCGGAGGTGACTTAGGAAACGTAATAGGAAAATGTTCTTTGGGCATTAGCTCTCTTTCTTATTGCTATGTTTCTGTGGGTGGAGTGGAAAGATCCGGGTGTCTGTTAACACGTTTTGCACTTGAAAAACCAGCTCCTGTTGAGCTGTGTCTGTACCAAACAAAGTCAATGGCATGTGAAAATAAAAACAGAAAGTGGTTTGTAGCTAATAAAATCAGAATCAACTAATGCAATGCTATTTGTCTGGGACGGAGACACTCAAAGTGCTTGTCCGAGGATCAGAAGTAGGTTAAAACCTATTTTTGCCATAATCTCCTTTAAAGGAGGCCTTGGTAAATAAATTGTATATTTTTGTTACGTTAACATCAAAAGGTCCTGCTAAACCTTGAGAATTCTACTGCGCTGAGCACTGTATCTGTATCCATACAGGAAGGAAACCTTTCTCTCAAAGATCTAAGTGAAAACACATCAGACCAGGAAAGAGACAGGATTAAAAAAAATAAAAGAAGGACCCAAAAGGCTGGAATGAAACAAGGGATCAGCTCCTTCACTGTGCCTGCCCGGTGTGAAGTGTGAGGGGATGAACCCCGTCCTGCACCCCGGGTGCAGCCAGGTTCTCCTCCCAGCAAGCCCCAGGAGGAAGGCAGCAGCCTTGCAGGAGAGGATTTTGCATCTAGTGGAACTCAGGCTTTTAATGACCGAGGGCTTTTCTTATAATTCTGAACAGCGGAAATCTAAGTTTCAAATAATATCCTCCTTGCCTTCTAGGGAGTCTTTGCTCACAGAATAATTAGAGATGAAAAGAAGGCATTCAACCCAACAGGATTCCCACTTTTGTAATGATCGCATAATAACATTACTAATGATCTGCCTGGAAAACAAAAGATTCCTCCTTAACAGGCAGTGCCATCCACAGTTTGTATTCTCTTTTTGTGTGAAAAAGAAAGAAATTACAGCTACCTAGATTTACTTTGGGTGAGAAATGGCTTTTATGTGTGCTGGGAGATGAGAACATCTGCATTTTTGCAGGTGATATAGGAGTGTACCCACTGCCTGATCTTTTAGTAGCTATAGAGAAAAGCCTGTGAAGATTTTATTTCCCCTTTCAAGGCATATTTTTAGAGCTGGCAAAATGTCCCAGGCTGAGGAGCATTAAAAGCTTCCTTCTAATGCCCATTGACTCCAAGTCCTCCACCCCCAGACCAGATGTGACTCAGTATTGAAACTAAAAAAACAATGTTTTTAATCCTGCCCTGAATAAACCACAAAGGGCGGGTCATGGAGATGCCAGACCAGCTTTGTCCTGCATGGAGGCTCAGCTCTAAAAATGGCCAGGGTCAAGTAATGCAATCAAAGGTGCAAGAAATACAAATTTTAAAGCATCCCATAGGAGAACTTTTTTTTCCCTCAGCTCATGCACTGTTGCCTGGGTCCTACCCTGAAAATCTCTGTACCCTCCACAGAGGTAGAAATATCAGGGACTGTAGGTTCTCCTGAACATGCCTGTGCCTTCCCCTCCTGGTGCAGTTGCCTGTGCCTTTCTCCAGCCCCACAGAGATCCTGACCACCAAGATATGCCATGGCACGGGCCACTTTCACTAGGCAAGGTCATCTCCTCTTCACACGTCAAAATGTATTTTCCAGTTTCATTCAGTGTCCCTGTTTTCCTGTAATAAAGTTGAGTTGCTCACTTTAACTCCTCTTTGTCTCCTTCAGTCGCACTCTCCCTATCCCCCACGCTCCAACCACTTCTCCACTGTTTCTATAGCAAAATCTCCCCCCGCCTTTCACTGTTATCACTCTTTGCCTGTGAATTCCCCCCACTCTAATGCCTCATTCATGTCTTCACTCCCCTGATGAAAAATCCTTTCCTGCCCTGCTGATTTGAATGGCTCCTTTTGTGCCGCAGACACCTCCTTGCGATGGAAAACGCTGATTTATTTTGCACGGCTTACCCGATGGCTGCCAGGTAGTAATGAATTTCGGTCACTATCACCCAAGGGTAAATGAGAAGCAGTGACGTCAATGTGAAAGCCACACAGCATCCCGTGAGCCACGCGGGCTCCAGCAGTGATTTTATTAACCTGAACAGGGCTGTGTAACACAGCAGTGCCTGGGTGACTCACACTGGCTCTGAGTGAGGTGAAACCTCAGCATTTGGGGAAGTGGCTTTCTTCCCTCCTATCTGATAGGACATCTCTTTGTATTTAGGGTTGAGAAGACATCAGAGGGGCCTCCAGGCCACACAAGCTCCTAATTTCAGGTGGCAGGTTCTTTGATTCAAGGGACTCTTGGCCCTTCAAGGAAGCAGGAGCAGCCACAGCTTCGGCTGATGAACACAGATGGTTTCCTCAAAGGAGCTCAAACTGAAAGTCTTGCACTCAGTGGGGTTGAGGAAACATGTTTCTCTCTAAATGTGGCCAGGCAGACTGAAGATGTGAATTTTAGGTGTCTCGAGGAAAATGTTTTCCCTCAGCCATGTTGCTAATGCATCTCAGTCCCACTCTTCTCCCCATCGGTCCTTCTCTGCTTTGCCATTTGAATCAATACAGTAATTTTACCACATTTCCAAAATAGGATGTCTAAAAGAGCTTTACTTGAATTTCTCTTACAGAGAGTTTCCGTTCAGTTACGCTCTCTGCGAAAATGCGATGATCTGTTCTTGCAATGTCAATATTGTCTCAAAGATGCTACAGGTTTATTTTCTGCCTGTGTGCCACTGGACAGATGAAAAAAGAGATAATCTTCTGTACAAGGTATCATAGAGCTACATATAATCACAACTGGTACGTAGCCCTTGTATGGAGTATGATGAATCACTGTTTCTTATAATAAAATACTCAAGGGAAGCCAGTGAAATGATCAGACAGCATGTGTATGGGCAAGGCAGCACCTTTTCTCATACCACAGGCAGAGGAGGTGATGAGGGCTGAAAGCAGTAAAAAGTGTTCAAGAGGAGACTGTGCTGTTCACAGCAGAAAGGGCCATCAAGAGCTATTAAAAACAACGATGCAACTTTTGGCTTAGAGAACATTGGGTATACAACCCATAATTTCCACTTTTGCTTCTTCCCAGGACATGTGCTACCAGTCACCATTGGAGCAGGATGCTGGGCTGAGCGTCATTCAGTCTATTTGGTACCCTTGTTCTTATGGCCCTATGCAAAAAAATCTCCAAATTAATCTGAGTTGTGTTTGAAAGAGCAGAGGATGATTTCAAGCCTGGCATAATTTGATAAACAGTAAGACTTTGCCCTGGGACACAGTTGTCTGGAGGTAGGACACGTTAATGCTGACACAGCACAGGCTGAAATGCTCACTCAGTCACTTGCAGCGTGAGAGCTGAGACGTCCCAGCGGATGGTCCACAGTGCCCACTGCAGTGCAACACAACAGAAATAACAGATCCATCCCTCTTTTAATATTCATCAGCCCTCTGGATGGGTCAGCACCTTCACTGTAACAACCCAGAAAGAAGAATGTCCTCCAAGGAGAAAAACTCCTGCCTGTTAGTATTTTACACATGAGACTTTTTGATGCAGGGATTCAAACTAGGATGAAAGCTGGCTGCGGAGTTATCTGCCACATCAGCAGCCCCCAGCATGGCTCCTGTGTCTCCTCCTGCACTCCCCACCACCACAGCATATCTCATACACAAATACTCGAGCTCTCCTGACTTGAAATATCCAAGAGAATTGGGAAAGCGTAGAAGTTGTCTGAGTTTCCAGTGTGCTGTGTTGCCCTTGTTGTAAAGAAGCAGAGAACTATCAGTGTGAATTTTCTAGGAAAAATCAGCACAGCTCAGTTTACCTTTGTGATTATATTCAGCACAAAAATAAATCACCAGAGGCTGCTAGAAGAACAGCAGTTATAAGCAGGTACTACCAAACAGATCACTGAAGCTCTGGGAAAGACATCCTCCAGGAAAGTATTGCTCGCCTGGCACATATGGGGACCGTGTAAGACTTTCCTAAACTTTCTGGGAATGAACAACTCTGCTCAGATCAGGCCCAGGGGCACAGGAATTGCTGTAGTTGCTTTCCTCTCCTGTCAAACACCTTTAGGCAAAGTCGTAGGACTCAGAGCTGACAATGCAGCTCTAAAGGCAGTGCAGTCCCATGCGACTGCCTACACCCACACTTCCCTGCCAGCCCATAATGGAGGCTCCTGGCTGCCCTGATTTAGGGATGTTTTCATTCTTAGCTGGAATCAACCAGGAAAACCCAGTTTGGTGTACACTAGGGTAAGAGCCTGATCCGGAGAGGGAAGGATGCTTCTTTCTACCTTACAAGGGTACCCGCTCACTAAAAGCTGTGAGACAGTCATATAATTTAATTATTTAATTAATATTTAATTCAAACAATAATTTTAAAATA